ATGTTTGTGCCAAATAGACATATAAAAATGAAGAAGTGATCATAAATCTGCAGTAAAACATGAACTCGTTACTTAAACAATGACCATTTTTCTTCTTGGTCTCGCTTGAAGATGCGTAGTAACTTATAGACATTTTAAGCGTATGCATTAAAGGGAAAATTCGTGTCTAGCCATAAGAGACAGTGACTAAGCGCGTTGAGAACCCATTCAACTTCGAAAATAACATTCTATTCCAAATAACTGGAGTACTCAGTAAAAGTATAGAGACAGTAGATTGGGCATGAACAATATTAGCAACAATTAGAATATCAATGTATTATGTAAAGGCAAAAATAAATAGAATCAATAGATATCCACAACGGCTTCTTAATCAAACTTGTTTATCACTTATTGTAAAAACGTGGATATCTCAATAACGCCTTTGCAATTTTCGGAGACTTTATTACGGATGTATGAATGTTAATACCGCCGAGTGGGAACCCCTTCGGCAGTTTAGTTCATGAACGTTAGTGCTTAGTGCCTTATATGTCCAAACGCTAATCTTTCAGGCTAAGGAGTCACAACTTACCGACTGAGGGGTGATTAATCTAACAGTGGAAAATTGATGTAAAGCTGGATTATTTTGGTTAGAATGCATTAACCATTTCTGTCTTCCTTTCGACCACTAACTCATTAATGTATAACCATCGTATTCAAATCACAGTTGCTGGCAGAAAATCAGTGAATTATAACAAATCGAAGTGTAGGATAAAGTGTCCAAAATATCGTCTTAACAATGTTATTAGGATGGTTAGTTTCTAGTGATTCATCCACTTGCAAATTCACCAAAACAAATTACAGACACTTGTCCAAATCCATTAACCCTCCTGTCCACTTGTCAGGACTTTGAGTGAAACTGTCACACCAGAACTGTAGGGAACGGATTGCAATTCCCCTGAGTAACTAAACTGTATGCATAAGTAAAATTGAATTCTAAACACATTCAATAGTACAATTTTTGCGTATTTTGTTAGCAATCTGAATCGAGGACAGAGCGGTAGTAGTAGCCTTTTTTTCAGAATCGAGTGAAAACCCAATTAACTCAATCGCATTCATTTTCCCCGATTCAGAATGTGAGGAGGTTTTGGAGCAGAGCTTAGCAGTGATATGTGCTAACAAGTTGGAAGAAGCCAAATTAAGGGTACATTTCCTGTTTTCTCTTGTGGCAACTTGATCCATCAAGGTCAGCCATCAATGATCAGTGTTAAAAAATGGCGCATAGTTTCCAACGTCTCATTTATCAAAGAAAAGGGAGGGTGAAATTTGAGGATGTCGGTTGCATAAGGGGGATGGCATGACCGATCAGTTGAAGCAAGTGATAACTAATCTCTGAAGAACTGATATATCCGCAGAAAGCATGAACCAGGTACTGAGACCAAAATGAATATATCTGCTATCTATATGCTTCACAATTCTAAAGTGACATTTTGAGATGCATTATTGCTAACTCATCTACTAGCTCGTGGTAGTGGAAAAGATGGCTTGAGAAATCATGAAATTTAATTTTAAGAGTCGATAGGCTATGGAAAATGTGGCATAAGCTCTCCCATGAACAATTATATTATAACATTAAGACACCAACAAGTGATCTTTTCAAAGTCATGAAGATTCGAATGACTCAGTTCCCCGAATTCTCGGTAAATTTTTCAATCCTCATATGCTTTCCAATGCCTTGGGTTTTTAATGCTTGTCAAAAACAATAATGCTTTGAATGTGGAAATGGAGATTTGCATCTCAATTACGCGGTTTCCTTTATCATCAGATCAACTATACTACAAGTGATAATTCATTATTTCATGAGGTGTATTGAAGTTCCTTCAAGTGCAGTTATTATTTGCATTCACTAATAATTTGAGAACCTAGTTCAAAAGACCATGTGACAACTTTGATTTCAGCTAATATAGGTTAGAGAGATTCGAATATGTGACAGTGAGTACCTTTTACTCGAAGAATGGGGGTTGTTTTCTTGAATTGCAATGACGTAGCTGCACTTTTCATTTTCTGAACAATGGATTTGTGACTTTTGAAGAGCTTCTTTATTCAATGAAATATATCATTAAAATTCATATCGATGAAAGAGATTGAACTCATAAATACATGGCCTCTCGAGACAAACTATTTAAAAGGAAAATTCGAAAAAATTTAGAATTTCTGTTCTTTTACTTCTAAGTAATAGGATTACTCAGCGACTTCAAACTAGAAAATAACAATAAAAATGTACAACAATGTTCGAGGCAAATGCTGTTTTTCTTCTAATTATCTCATTGGGTGTTGAGGGGTTATTGATATACACTGTTGAAAACAAAATATAATTCTTTTATCAAAAGACTAGAACGATCAAGTAGTTTGCAACGAGGTAGTAAACTACGTGAATTCGTGAATCATCGATTATTGGTCGGATATATGATTGTGAACTGCTTTGGGAAGGAGACAATCAACCAAAAAGGAAATATCTTGCCAGTAAATTGAACCGACATTGTGGTAAAATCTATTCATTAATAATGGATTTAACTTTCCCACTGTAGTAATTAAGGTAAAGTAAATTTCTACAACTGTTGGATAAAATAGAGTATTTTACTTCAAAATGAGTTAAGGTAACGATGCTACTTGTCTATTAACTTGATTACTAATCAGTCACAAGTTTAATATAATTATTAAAGTTGCACTTAATTGTGAGGCTTTGGTTGGCAGATTTTAGAGTAAAATGGGGAACTTAAATTAATCCCGTATTAATATTTTTATAGGGATTTATGAGTAATTGGGTGACTACTGCGGTTATAAACAAAAAAAATTTCCTAGGACCCTTGAAGGGAGGTAAAATCGATCTCTTTTACACAGTAGGTACTGGGTGGCTTTTAACTACTATTTACTACGTGGGTGGTAATTTCTCATCACAACCACCCCATAAAGACCCAAAAAGTTAACCCTGCTTAAAAGGTAAATTGAAAACAGTATTAAAATAATGCAGGCAAACATACGTATAACCTTTGAAAATATGCAAGAAAATGAAGATTTTGTGCTTTAAAACATCCTTCCTGATAATGTAAAATGTAGATACTACACGTCAAATTATAGAAATCTAGGAATGGATAGGACACCTGAACTGTACAGAATGAAGGAAGAAAGAAAGGGTGAATTAAGTAGATAGAAATCAGTTAAGAAAGATCTTGTTTGACTTTAAGCATTTATGATGGATCAGGCAAATAGATGAGGAATGGTGAGCTTACAGTTGCTTCGTTTTGTTTGAGTTGGACTTCCTCAGCTGAGGTGCCTTTACGCGTTTCCCAAGCGGGATCAGGGACTTGAATAGAAGGATTTCCCAGAGTGGGAGATGGAAGAACGTACTCAATGAGCGGTGGTGGAACTTTTAAAAACTGACTCGCACCATCTTCAAGGCGAGACCAGACTTGTTGGCGTGTTACCCAGAGTGCTCGAAATCTAGATACAGAGAATATTAAACAAATAAAAGGTTATGAAGTTTATTGTAAGTTGATTTTACCTCAGAACGGCATTGAGACGACTGTTCAGGTCGGTGTGTTGAAGTTCTGTATAGAGAAGCTTTTGAATAAAGGAGGAGCATTTTACAGCAGCGAACAGAATCAACGCAGCTAAAAAATCATTTAATGTTCAAGCAAAATGCTCATGTTTCTAATATATATATATGACATTCAATTTTCACTTACCCGCACTACTTGTCAATTCAGGATCGGGTTCAAGAAGCAACTCCCAGGCCAAAGGAACGACCTCCTCTAATTGTTCTGGAGAAAGCAATAGCGCTCCCTTATTGAGCAGGTTGAAGAAACTGCTGCGCAAAGACTGAACCTATATTACACAGGAATTCAAAACTAAACATTTATATTCCACTGGAAAAACATCCTTGATATTAAGCAAATCGTGTTCATTAATAAAAGAGAGAGAGAGAGTCATTTTCTTCATAGTGTTGTATCACACAACTTTAAAATTCATTTTAAGGTCCTTTTAAGTCAACAGAATTGTTGTTATTTTAATTAATAATAAACTGTTAACAGTTATATTGAGGCATCACAGGCGTGCTAAGACACGATTACTGATTAGAAACCGCTATTTCTTGTGAAATTGTATCATTGTAAATGATGATAATAATTCATATTCAGTTCAATCAAATCGTACACAAAATAATCACCTAACTAAAAAGTATCGCCTAAGTCAGAATTCATCTTGAGTGAGATGTACAAAGTAGTACTACGTTAGAAGTTTCGGTGCTAGTCTCGTATACAAGGTTGCGATCAAAACAGAATGGCATGAACAGGTGAGTAAACAAGTCAGATAGCTATTGAGATTGGAATATAGTAAAGTGAATATTACCCATAAATCTGGAAGTCCCGTGATAAAGAATGAGCACTAGGTTGTAAGAGCGTGAATTCTCCCATCATTAGGAATTATAAAAGCCTCAATTTCAAGTAAAATTGCATGCCGACCTCACCCCTCCTACCTCCCCAATCATTATTTTTCCCCCTTCCCTTTTGTACCTAATAAAGCTTCTTTATTATTTCTCTTAATTTAATTTTTACCACAATTATTACTATTATCTGTGGAATAGAAAAAATATAATTTGCACATTATAAACATGGGAAGAGTTTAAACAACGGGACTGACCAATGCGATTCGGTATTTACTTATTCGTATTCCCATTTCACACCTATTCGCAAAAAATCAATGCCAACGAGCTTTCTCTATTTTTCAGGCCCAGTACAACCAACCATTCGTCTTGTGATAGACCATAGTGGCCAAACTATAAAAAACAGACTCGATGAATATTTCTATCGGCCTTGCTTGTTTTTTTTCAATTAAAACTTCTTTGAGCATTACTAACCAACTTTTGACCTTTAACAACTGATTTTATAATACTACCGGCTAGGAAAACTTATATGTATATATATATATATATATATATATATGTGTGTGTGTGTGTGTGTGTGTGTAGGAACTCACCCTATAGGTCTTGTGTCTCCATAGCTGAAGATAAGTTTATACCAGATCTGAATCTTTGTGGTTGCAAACAATTTATTTTATGTAATTTCTAGGACACGCCTGTCTAATATAAATTTATATCTCCTTTGAAGTATTTTGGTTTGCCAAATCGAATTTGAAAGAAGACATAAGCTATCTACCTGTTCAAAATTACTCCGTGATGACTCGCGTCTTGCAGAACTCAAGAGACTGACTTCCAAATCCTTGAAAATAGCATAAACTTCATATAATATAAGCTAAAAAACTGTATTAAAGAGCGTAGGACCATCTTTAGATCCTAGGTTGACATCCTTTTTCATAGAAAATGCATCCAGTGAATTCTTCTTGTGACCTTTTGGGCCAATAGGAAATAAATCAAGTGGTTGTTATGATCTAAGTCAGCTCTAGTTTATACAGTCTTGTTAAAATCGTAAATGTGGTTAGTGTACAAGGGCCTCCCTCAAGTCACCTAAGAGTAGAACTGTTTCGTAATATCAGACGTTAGCTTTCGACATCCCTCCTATTACAGTAGGCCATTTCGTTCTGTGGACACTCTAGCAAAAAATTTACTTTGAGTATTTTCCTGAGATTCACTTGTATAGAAATTATGCCCTTCTCGGATCATGGTTGCAAAGTATTTTCACATGGTGTCAAGTAGAAAATTAACTTTGATGGTTAGCTGGATCAGTTCTTACCCACCTTAACACTTTTCAAATGCCCAGAAATGGGGAATAGTAGGTCTTATTCACCCCTTTTAATTATTTAAATTTGTACCATTTTGGAATCGCAACGTATACAATAATAAGATTAGTAATGATAATAAAAATATTTAAAAAAATAAATATTCAAAGGTTGTGCTATTTAATACACCATAGCGAATCTCCGGAATACAAACTGACAACAGGAAGTTAAAGAGATGTAAAAACTACCTGAGTGTCCAGATAGATCAATTCCGGTGAATCAGTTTGATGAGGAAGAGGACGAACCTTGATCTTTCCATGCTCAGCCTCTTCTGATGGAGCATCTTCACCTTCCGCAAATGGTATAGATCCATTTGTCAGTCCACTTTTGACAACCTCCAACAGTCGAGCTAGTGAAGGAGATGAATTGGCTGCGGTTAGTCCTGTTCCTGCACCAGCAAGTAGGGAGAGGTTCATAAGGCTGGACAGACCACCGGGACCACAGATACCACCTCCATCATCAGAGCCACCAGCTGAAGAAAGAGTACCCGCCCCAGATCCACGTTTTGGAGTTCCCTTTCGACGAAATCGATCGAATATTGGAGTTGTAGCTTCACGCCAGCCTGAGGAGAATACTGATGATTCCTTGTGAAAAGCAAACAAACGTGGGCACAAAATGCATATTTAAGCTCGAATCACCCAATTCATAAGAATCTCTAAAATTATTGCTAGAAGTATCTAAGTAAAATTCTTTTTATAGATTTTCAGCATGAAAAATATTAGCAAATAAGACAAGGAAATCCTTTTTAAAACATAGTCGAGCATGGAGCACAGAATTCATATTTTAATTCATAGACGTGGAACTAATCAATTTCTACCTTCTGTGGACACCATGGTCCATCATGGATGCTTTTAATGTCCCAGCGTTAAACAAAATGAGCATTTGTATTCATCCAACAAACTGAAGGCACACTGTCGAGATAAGTCATTTGTCGTGTAATACTGTACAGACAGTGTTCGTCGGGTCTCACATATGTCCGCTAACCAAACAATGACTAAAAGTTCTACCCTCTATACCTCCTCACCCCCCCCCCTAGCTTTTTAAGCTGCCAGTTTAAGCAGTGTTGTTCAATCTAACTAATGGCGTTGAATAGGATTGTATCTGATTACCCATAAGCTCAAATGACTTATAGCCTATCTCCAGTCCGCTGCATGCCGGAAAATAAGCTTCTCCCTTTTTCCCATTCCTTTTTTTCTGCTTCATTTCTCAGTCAGTTAATTAATTTATCTGAGCCATCTTACTCCACTTCACTGAGCTTTATTATCCCCATCCAAGCGTATTTTCGGACGCTTAATTGTGAAGCTGATGTCTTCTTCTAAGTAAAGGCAGACCACCACTGTTTCCACCTTTTTTGTCACTGTTGGAGGGAACTTCAATATGACTTGGAAGGATAGCAGCTTAACAAAGTTCCCTCTCCTACGACGGTCCAATGTTATATTTAGGAATATGAAGCACAAATTGTACCTGAATCATGCACTTGGATGCAGATGACAAGGGTTCAAAAATCTAGGACAAAATATTTTTCAACTAATAGTCAATGCATACTAGAAAATGTTATTACTTACTAATACTGAGATGAAGTAATGGCACATTCATGCGCATGCACAAGCTACGAATCTAATGTGGCACTACTTCACTACTGTTCTGAACGGAACTTGCTAATCTACGAACTGAACTTACCTTGACTGAAGGGATACTACACTGAGCATCGTGAATCGCCTTACAGGCGTTTATCCACATGCGCTTAGTGCTAGCATCATTATCTCTTGAAGCAGTAGTTTCCGTGGGCTCAACTATACTAACACCCTAAAAGCGCTCATATAAAATCCTTATTCAAACAAAATTTGGTTCATTAAGTTCATAAGAGTAAAGACATGCCTTTCTTTTCGCATTCCTAGCAAAAAGAGTGTTTCTCTTTTCCTGGTGGTCTCTTCCGCCAAAGACTCGATGGAGAATGGATGAGGACGCTTCCAATTCGGGATCTCCACATCCAGAACCAAGAGGCCCCATACCGTCAAGAACTGTACCTCTTAAAAGTGGAGTACTGCTGAGAGCCAGTCTTAGAGGTTCTTCCAGCCCACTGATTCCAGTTGTGTCTTGATCGGAGTCGTTAACATCGTCTGAATAACTAGAATCTTCTTCCTCATTCCCACCTCCTCCTCCTCCTCCAAACGAATCAGATGAACATTGACAAGAAACACCTCCACCACCTACTCCGTTTCCACCACGATTATCGCTAATTCCGCCCATGGTAGCACGAGCACGACGACCATCCGGCAACTCATCCACTGAGCGTATGAAACTCGACTCAGTGGAGGCTGAGTAAACTTGACGGATGGCTTGTAGTAATGAGCGTAATTGTTGCTGTTGACGATCAAAACAATTGGCCTCGCACATTGGCTGGTGCTTGCAGTTGAAAGTAGTTCTAAACCAAAATAAGGTATGCAATTTTTAGTTTAACGCAACATGCACACAGTATTATCAATTTTAGTAGGCAAGAGAAAATTTACGAGAGGAATAGATTTGCGGCCAAGTTTCATACAATTTTATAAGTCGTCTTGGGAAGGAAATCTTGTTGATGTATCGTCTTTTATCGAAATCAGTGTCTGGCATACACTTGTTAGATTCCTTTAAAAAAAATTTTCTTTACTCATTTTAGCATTCATTTAGCTCCTACTATGGGTGACAGATGCCATTGTTTCAACTGCTTACAACGTAGGTTAGAATCCTCTCATTGACATTGACAGTTGAGGGTTTTTAGTGATGTGGCCAATATGCTTGTATACGGACCCAGAGGTCAAGAATTCGATGCTATCGATGCTCAACAAGCGAGTGGAAGAGCTAACAGTATTGATTAAGTTGGGCAATTAATTGGGATGGCGTAGGTTGAAAATGCAGGCATATTGGCTTAAGCTCGGTTTAAGAAAACGATTTCCCAACTTCACTAAGACATTATGAACCCTACAGAGGCAACAAAGTTCAAAAAATTTAATCCTGTTTCTATCAAGAATCCATTAAATACGAATAATTTTGAATGATTATTTTCTGATCACTAAAAAAAACTTAGGTCGTCAGATACAAGCTTAAGGAAATTTTTCCTGCAATTACTCATTTTCTTTTTGCCCTGCTATTCCAAATCCAAGGCAACTAAACTGTATGGCAATGAACTTTGAAGTCAACGAGTAGAAAAATATCGAAATGGAAAAATGGATAGTATAGTTAAGAACAGATCTTAAAGAAGATCTTTAAATAAGCAAACTACCAATCAGTAGATATTTGCGATATAAAAGTATGACAGACCTCTTTGCGAATGCAATGACCGCGGATATCCAAGGCATGTTAGTGGAGTAGAAATCAGCCACCGTCGATTGATTTTGTCCTCGAGTGGCTGTCGAGCGTGAAGTCTCCCTCATGCCACTCAGTGATGTTTTTCGTCGATCACGACGAGGTGAACGTTTACTGAAGTCGACATCCGTTTCACTCTCAGCAAAGCCGAGACCCTCAGAGCTTTCAGACCGACGTCCCCAGGCCCCGGAACCGGTTTCTGGGTGGAGACTGGAAGAATTTCGACTACCGTAACCTGCAGTCACTCCGTCGTCTATACTCGAACCCGGACCTGCCCCACCGCCTTCTCCCCCCGAATTGCTTGCTCGTGAAGACATTCGTCGTAGACCTGAAACAATGGAAACTGAAACAATTCATCATAATTCATGTTAACAAGGAATAGTGGCTAGCATTGCTGTCATTACTAAATTCAATATAATTTTGGATTAAATTAATCTTTATATTTGCATTTCATCAAAGTACGTCTTGTGTGCTGAAATAAGATACCTTACTAATCAAACTGCCATGTTGACTCTAAGATAAGTAGATAATTACAAACTAAGAAACCTTGCTGACGCATCTCTATCCTACAGCTTCAATTTTCATCTATTCATCTTCTCTCCTATTTGGTCGTTTGAGGACCAGATTTATATTGATCTACTTCTATGCCACTTCCTTTCCGGTAGGTATCCCAGGTGTGAGCATCAGGTTTGCGAATATACTCTCCCAATATGATGGAAGATATTCAGAAAGAGCATCGAATTTATTTTCAGAGCTCAATTAAAGGATTTTGAGCTAAAAATACTTGGGAAGAATGAAAACATTCTGGAATAAACTTGCTTGACAAGCATTTTGTTGCTCTTTCATTAAACCTCAATGTTACTAAGTTACTAAATCCCAGATGTATTGCATGATTGGAGTCTTGAATTCCGGAAGAATGCTAAAATGACCTATTACTCCAATATCAACTTATTTATTTAATCTAATAATGCAATAAAATAAAACATAGTATTTGTACTCTAAGAGCATGCATCTGATTGCACAAATGTAATAAGTACAGAGTTTCACAGATCACCGTACTAATTACAGCACTCTGTAGAAAATAACCCCAGAATTAATGAACGATAGAAATGATTTCCCAAGGGGTCATAGAGCATCCATGGCGTCAAGCAAATGTCAAATCTAGGTTGCTTTAGGCAAGAATCTTCTCAACAATAATAGCAGGAGTAAAGTAAATACAAATTTTTCCCTAACTAATGTTTGCATTCAGCCTAGGAAAGTGCGATTCCTAAAGCAAACATACCCAAATACGAAGAGTAACTAAGGAGATGTCCTGAAAGTAGATGAACTGTATAAGTGGTAAATAAAAAAATTGAAAGGCAAATTAACTAATTTGGGATAGAAACGACAGGGGCCGTTAATCGTGACCTGAACATAAAGGTCAGCTCTCCATACACACATACACATATGAATGTACGGACACGACGGCGCAAGTTAGAAGATAGGATAGCGATGCCAACCAAAAGGGCATATTGGGACACGTTCGCCAATGCCGATTACTGATCAGGATGCAAATTGGGTAAGTTCCTTCTCCCTATTTTCTCCCTCATCTCCTCTATCTTTCGCTTTTCCTAACTTTCCTCCTACTTGGTCATAAATCTTGAACTGATATGTTATCCAAACGACTGCCTGTTTGGCTACGCTTTCCTTTGTCAGTAGTTCATACATACTTGAGGTTTTTTAACAATAGCACAGAATTTCAGTCCTAGGCTTACGAACGTTAGGGCAAATTATTTCGTTTGAGTCAAAGATTTGTCCTTGTCCTTTGTACTGACGGATTTTGAGATATAACACCAAATACATATTCTATATACTTAGGTTTTATTTCCTCATCTAAGAACAATATTAAATAGAAATGAGTAGCCACCCATTATCGAGGTAATACCTTCCATAAAGAGCTTAATGTCCTTATCATTAACTGGATTTGATATTTTGAATAGGGGTTTTAAATGCGTTTACTGGTAGTCCATTGTATAGAGGACACGAGTTGCTTCATGAAATCATAATATGCATTCAGTCACCTCTTCGTTTGCTTTTTCTCTCCTGAAGTTACCATGTATAAGGACGATTATTTTAATTACTAGTTAATAGCATCAAATTGCTCGTTGAATGTTAAATTAGCAAATACGCTAACATGGGCAAGATCAAATCCATTTCACTATACTTGTCAATCAACTTTGAGTACTGTGTAGATGGACTATTTCAATTAAATTAACCTTCCTAATATTCTGATCAAGAATTTGGAAACTATATCATGCCGTTTTTAGGTTTGAAACGCCATCGTTTGCTGCCATGTAAATGTAGACAAGTCGATATTTCAGCAAACCTACAAAGGAGGCCTATTTTTGAATTGGCATCCTTTGAAATTTCTTAGTGTTTCTTTTATGTGGATACTTCTTCAAGACAGCCAATAATAATAATAGTAATACTAAGTTCAGTAAATGATGGAAGTGAATATGAGCAAGGTAAATAGCGTACAGTCGTAAAATTTAGTTGCCAAGTGAATGTTCAGTGTGACTTCAGGATGATTTATCGCTCTAATTAAAATTAAATTATCCCTCCTAAGCCTTAATTGGAAGCTAATTAGAGGGGAAACTTAAATCCGTTTGTGATGGTAAAATTGACAGGCATGTGGTTTTCAATTAGGCGAGTCTGGTTTCCCGCAGAGCTGTCGAAGCAAAGATTAGACCTTGGGGGGTTGGGGGGGGGGGGTTAAATACGGGCAAATGACCGTTTCTGTTTTTACCCTTATAAATGTTATTCGGATTAGATTGGTAGGCACTTGCGTATGGGTTAAAAACAATCTCCGGCTTCCACTTGATAACTTTTGATATATATATATACATCTTTCGTTATATGAGATGTATATTTGTCATAAAATTTTGATTAATATATATTTTTAAGCAATAGTGTTCACAAGTCTTTTTTTGAGTTCCCAATCAATCATTCAGCAAATGCCACACATTTATTATGGTTTGAAAATTAACCAGTACTCAACTTGAAAGCCTTTTTTTCAAAATGTTTTGAAAACGGTTAAAAAGGATGAAGTCTCATGAGGGAAATTTCCTAAGCAAAAAATACGACATGTGGGGAACTTGTTTTAATACTGCACTCATACCGAGTTTTAAATCCAACGTAGTCAGATCAATGCGAAGAAGGAATAAAAGACTAGCATACAATTTCGGGGAAAAAATATTTTTATTATTCGAGAGGAGAGTAGAGAGAATCAAGTGAATCCAAGGAAATCATATTTCTCTACCAATAAGTATATATATATATATATATATATATATATANATATATATATATATATATATATATATATATATAATGGGTTAGCATTACATAGCGTAGTTATAGCTTTCAATCTGGGGAAAAGTTTTCGACGTATAACAGATCAAGAGAATTTTTTTGCAAATTTTATGATATTTAACTGAAGAAATAGTTGTCAAGCTTTCAAACCTTAAATTTGGAAAAGAGGGTATGGAATTCGATTTAGATTATTGAACACGCTTCGGTATTTGGGGGTAGACAATGCGCCTAGTCACGTGCTCCCCCCCCCCCCAGAGTTGAACAGTTTCCTCCACCAAAATGTCTCCAATAAACTTTACCACACTTTTCCTACACATTTCAAAAGAATGGTGAGATGCCCGTTTGACCTCTCTAATTCTAACAATATTTGGAGGTTTCAACCTCGTAATGTGCTTTCCCTTTTTCCTGCATCCAGTATGCGGGCTGCTGAACCCTTATCCATCTTGTTCACATAAATCAGAAAAAGGAGTGAAACTGGGTTAGCAGCAGGTACGAGATCAGGCCAACTTAGGGTCGCCCCCCCCCCCTCCTCCCAGCATCTGCCAAGATTGGTCAAATTTAAGGATAATTGCATACCACTATCAGTTTTGTTTGAGCGAGTATTGCCCATAAATGAGGAGAGTTGGTATGACTGGCGAAAACTGCCCGAGCGTTGACGTTTACGAGTCAGATTTTTCGATATTGACTTTCGGGCTAAAAAATAAGTATAAAGAAAAAGAAAAAGGCTTTGTTTCGTGTTTAATATTGTAAATCGATTGCTAAGCGTTAATTAAATTACAACTAAAGTTAGAAATAGATATTAATATTTTGAGCCATTTTTAAAGCGTAGTAACTAAAGGCTCTTCACTGAATGGTAAACTTGCGTAATTGCCATACCTGTCGAAGACTTATGACGATGGTCGTAAACATGTGGGTTCTTTCCCTGGAAGGCTGGCAGAAAGAGACTTTCATAGTCACGTACAAAATATCACTCAATTTTAGGAACTGTGGAGTACGCGATAGACTTACCTTCACGTGGTGCACCCTGGGCAACGTATACTCATACACCATAAAAGTCTATTAACTGACAGCTGACTTTTCATTTCAAACTACCATCACCCCACTGTATGTCATATTCCACCACTTTCACAGTACTCATCTTACCTTTTCTCTGCCTTTGTGTCTGCCTGTCTCTTGCATCCGTGAATCACTCTTCTGTTCCCCCTCTCGAAAGTGTCACACTTTGATGTTCCTCCCCTCTGTGAAGCCCGAA